GAGAGAGAGAGAGAAAAAAAAAAAAAGAATCCTCAAACACAAGGTATGTAAGTTGTATTATAAGGTACCTTCTATTTGAAAATTTAACACTGATTTCTTATAACCTTTTTTTTTAGAGGAAACTTACATACAAGGTACGTACCTTGTTTTCAGGTTAAGACGGTAGAGCTCCTTGAGGAAGGATGTGAACCACTTGACCAATCTTTGGATGTTCATCTAGTTGATCAAACCCCACCACCAAATCCGCTTCCCGGAATCTAATTCCCCTTCTTAACGTTTTTATCTGTGCTAAAGGGATTAGAGAGATGAACTGTTTCAGATTGAGAGAGAATTGGCGGGCATACTGAAGAGTATGTCTCATGTAGTGATAATTTATTTTTTTTTTTTTTTTTTTTTAACCCCATATATCCTTAACCCGCAGAACCCGTCTTTTGACCCACAAAAACCAAGGTGAATCTAAGTTATTAAAAATGCAACTATTAGTATCTGTGATCTAACGGTTACCGAAAAGAGGTTGACGTAGTGCTTCCTCATATTGAGGTGGAAACGGTCTGTTAGTTAGGGGGAAGAGGCGCCATGTTTGCAGTAATGTAGAAAAAAAATTATCTAGCATAAGGTCACACCCCGCCTCCCATCGCATCCCCTCCTCAATGGATCGTGTCTATGCTCGAGGGATGCTCCAAAACCTATCGTCAATCCATGTTAAAGGGTATATGTCATCATGTGTTGAAGGAGTCAGTCAACGAATCTGCTTTAGGGCCAATGCCACCCATGACCTATTCTCAAACAAAATTAATTACAGTATTGTGAGCCTCTGCCGCATTGATTTTGACAAAATCAACGATTTGGATAATCAACGATAAATAATATTTGTTGTGATACAAATAAAAATAAAATGGTTATGTTAGAAGGTACAAAATTAGTCGGAGAGAGTTGTGCAACAATTATATTACCTGAAGCCGCTGTAGGTATTGAAAACATGTTTAGTTATTTGATTGTGTTGCAAAAAATTCTTCATTAGTGAAGCAACTATTCGATTATGGTGCGCAATCCACAAGAGGACACGCAAAGTATTGCGCCTTCGTCAATATATTCTCTGGCCATTGGTCACAACTCCCTCTGCGAACCAACCTTCAACGTGTCGATCTCAAATTTTTGTATTCTGATTGGAATGAAGAAAATTGCATCGTGGTAGCGCCTTGTGCGTAGGAAAACAACGATGAAACTCTCATAAAGCGCCTGACCTTGCTGAGTCTTTTTAGCACGGGAGACAATGTTGAACATGGTAAGGATAATAAAGCCGACACACAAGTTTTCCGGTATAAAATGGCCAATGCAATTTCGTGGTCGGATGTTACATTCTCGATCTGGGTCCGATTGCGTATCACAGTCTGCCCAATCAACACTGATTAGGGGGTGCCTACCTCGTAGGATGATGTGGTGAATAAATCCATTAGGGCTATGTTGCAATCGGTGTTTAGCTACAGGTAAAAAACAGACATTGCAAGAACAATACTTGAGAATGAGCCCGAGGTCCTGTACCCCTAGACCACCTTTTATCTTAGGTTGTATCGACGAGAGTCAAACCACTATAGGGATTACCTTCTCTTGTTCATGATTACCCGCCAAAGAAATGCGGAACCTGTCACTTAAGATTTTTTAAGCGGTCTTTGTTAATAAACCAGGGTGCATATTTGAACAAAATAGAGGTCACTACAAGATTGTTAATGATAAGTGTATTCCATAAAATAAAAGTATGTTGATTCTTTCATTGATTCATTTTTTTAAGGGATGATTTTGTTATCGTTGATTCTTCCATTGATTCATTTTTTCAAGGGATGGTTTTGTTATCCACTTATAATTGGTGATGGGTTTGCTCTGGTCTGTCAGAGACAACAAAATTTTTTATATTAGGGCATCCAACGAAACCCAACTAATTATAGGATGCTCCAGGGGGCGAACTGCATTTGAGTGAATTCACCAGCCTTGTTTTTTACTGCACCAGTTCACCACCATAGCCGAAGTTTTAACAAATTTATCCATAAAAACTCATATTTTCTCCATATTTGATTGTGATGTCCTAATCATAATGGTGAGGTAATTAACAAACATTGAGCTGATAAGTATGGGTTCATTTTGGATCCCTGATATTTAAAGGCATTTGAGATTATAATTTTTTATGAGATTGACCCCCCAACGCCTCAATTATAATGACAAAGAGGAAGGAAGTCAAGAGGTCCTCTTGTCTCACCGACCTCTAAAGTTTAATCTCCAGCGAAGGGAGACCATTGACTATAACGCTTGTGGTGACGTTGAAATGAAAAATTTATACCCACCTACACATGTATGACCAAAAATTCATTTTTGAAAGCATGCATTAAAAAAACTCCAATCCACATGATCATAAACCTTTTTAAAATATGTGAAGACAAAGGCTGAATTTTGCTTAACTGCGGAGATAGTTTGACCATTTCGTTGATTAAAATAATATTAGCTTTAATATTTTGATTGTTCAACAATCACTAAAATTAGGTAATTCGTTACGGTTTTTACCAACAATTTATACACCACTGTGAGTAACGGGATTGATCTATAGTTCCTAATGTTCGCCTTGTCCCCTTTTTTATACAAAAGGGTAAAGATACCTTATCACCACTAGAACTGCCTCATTCATAATATGAGGAGAAGGTCGATCACATAATCATTTAAAACTCTTTAGGGAGCCCATCCACCCCAAGTGTTTTGCCGTTATCCATTTGCAATAAGGTCGTCCAAATTTTCTCTGTGCTCAAAGGTCTCTCCGTCCATTCCCTCTGTTTTTGCCTGAGTGATTGTGTTAAACCATCAGTACATTTTTTCAACTATTAATAGGGAGCCTAAAAATGCTCTGCGTGCCATTTTTTGTCGAGCTTGGAAGGGGCAAGAACCGACACGAGAAATTTGTTGGCTAGGATCGGTACCGCCTCTTCTGTTGGACCTGCTGCAAGCAGTTGGAACGATATTCGACTCTCATTCTCTCGTTTTCACTCGTAGGCCTGACTAGAAGTGCAACCAGATGAGCTGGCTGACAGGTACTTCATTGCTCTCCCACGAGAGGGCACGTAAACAACCGATAATCTTTTGCCAAAAAAACAGAGGGGAAAGGTATACAAAGCTTTGGACGTGATTGCTTTCATTTTTGAAAGCATGCATTAAAAAAACTCCAATCCACATGATTATAAGCCTTTTCAAAATATGTGAAGACAAAGGCTGAATTTTGTTTAACTGCGGAGATAGTGTGACCATTGTGTTGATTAAAATAATATTAGCTTTAATATTTTGATTGTTCAACAATCACTAGAATTAGGTGATTCGTTAAGGCTTTTACCAACAATTTATACACCACTGTGAGTAACGGGATTGGTCTATAGTTCCTAATGTTCGCCTTGTCCCTTTTTTTTTATACAAAAGGGTAAAGATACCTTATCACCACTAGAACTGCCTCATTCATAATATGAGGAGAAGGTCGATCACATAGTCATTTAAAACTCTTTAGGGAGCCCATCCACCCCAGGTGTTTTGCCCTTATCCATTTGCAATAAGGTCGTCCAAATTTCCTCTGTGGTCAAAGATCTCTCCGTCCATTCCCTTTGTTTTTGCCTGAGTGATTGTGTTAAACCATCAGTACATTGTTTCAACTATTAATGTGAAGCCTAAAAATGCTCTGCGCGCCATTTTTTGTCGAGCTTGGAGGGGGCAAGAACCGACAGGGGAAATTTGTTGGCTAGGATCGGTACCGCCTCATCTGTTGGACCTGCTGCAAGCAGTTGGAACGATATTCGACTGTCATTCTCTCGTTTTCACTCGTAGGCCTGACTAGACATGCAACCAGATGAGCTAGCTGATAGGTACTTCATTGCTCTCCCACGAGAGGTCACGTAAACAACCGATAATCTTTTGCCCAAAAAACAGAGGGGAAAGGTATACAAAGCTTTGGACGTAATTGCCTTGAGATTCATCCGCTAATGTCCAAAAGTTAGGTCAGATATACGTTGGAAAGTGACAAA